TTTCCTTTACATTTCGAATGCCAAATTCCCTTTGAGTTAGTAGATATTAGTAATGCATTATTCTTTAATTCAATTATGTTCGTAAATATCTCGTTTTGTATAAGATATGTAAATTTACAGAGTTTCAAAATTGCATGTTGATCATCGAAGAACAATGCCGAATAACACGTCGGATCAGATCGTGCCCTTAAATTAAACATGAAATCACCATTTTGTTGTTTTCTCAGTTCACAACTAAAATTAACACGATCTTCTAATTCCGCAAAATAATTCCCAGCCTCATTAATTCCAAAATATTTCTCCTGATTATCTAATATGACCGAATGATTAGTTACATCATTTCTTAAACTTATTCCGCGTTGAATAGGAACAGGAAAAGGTTTTATTTGAAATATTTTGTATGTTTCTTTGACTGTTAACAGCGGGATTTCTATGGTGAAATATAAATAACCTTCTGATTGCGCATATGTTAACACTCGATTATCATAGTAATATCCTGGGTCATTGTGAACCAGAGTAAATTCAGGATATTCGCGCCTCAGTTTTGATTTAACCTCTTGAAGTGAATTATTTAGCACTTTTGCATCAATTAATTCTGGCGATAGATACCCTTTATTTGCTTTCTGTAAGGCAATTACTTTCCGATATAAATTATTTTCAGCAAATTGTAAATTAATTAATAATTCCGAGGTATATTTAAACATAGCAGTTACCATTCCTGATATAATGATATAATGCCATTGTGGCGATTTAAGAATTTACATGTCTGTATTTACATTTTTTGTATTCTATTGAAATAAATTTAATAATAATAAAAAAATAATACCATTCCTGATAATTTTAAAACATCATTTCTAAGGTCGTTAATAGATTGAGCTTCATTTCCTAGCTGGCGATCAATGTTATCAATATATTCACGCAATTGATTTAATGACGCATGATTTAATTTCACAGAATTCATGATGTTATCTGTTCTATTATTTGAAAGAACCATAAAGCCATGCAATTGATTTTGAAAGGTATTCAATCTTCTCGCGGTAATATTTCCAAAAGATTCTAAGTGGATTATGTGCGATTTTAGTATATTGACACTTTTCCAGTTGCCAATCCAAATATCCCACCAATAAAACTGCCTATCGGAGATAATATTGAATCTCTTTTAACTTTAGTTTGCCTTTTACTTTCTTGTGGAACAATTGATCTTATGTTATTTTGATGTTGTATTATTTTGGTTTATAAGTTTTTCATTAATTCTTTTAATTGTTCGCACGCATGAACAAATAGCATGTACTCCATTGTTTATGAACATACATTTTGTATGAACAAATACTATGTACTTTCTCCAGTGTGTATGAACGTACAGAGTATTGGTTAAATAACTAGTGAAAGTACATAATATTTGCTCATACACATTGGAGAAAGTACATGATATTTGTCAATACACACAGTTAAAATTTATTGTTTCATATATACACTGGAAAAATATAAATAGTAGTCAATACACACATACACAGAAAGTAAATAAAACAATAAAATATTGGTTTAGGCACATGGGAAATTAACCTAGTTTCGATTCATACATACTGGAGAAAGTATACACAGAGGAGTGTGACTCAGAAAATGTGACTCAAAAACAGTTAAAAGTTGGACTTTTAGAAAGGTCACCAGACAGAATCTATTGCATTTTTGAAAAAGTGTGCCAAATATATTATTTGAAATTATAGAAGCTTTTGAAAATTTGAATTCATTCCTAAAAATAGAAAAAATGAGAAACTCTTTTTATGATCACAATTTTTGTTTCAGACAACTTTTCAAAATTTCAAAGCTCCTATGACATGTATGGTTTGGAGTAATATGTTACGTATCGTAACTGTCGCTTCGGGATCTTGTGGTCCTTCGGTACTCGCAGGGTTCCTGACTACCTAATTGAACACGACTCCTTTGTTTTGTTTCTTAATTTTATTTCAAATTCCAATTCTTCTTGAGATTGATCCGGCCAGCCGAGTTTCGGTAGATTCGCTTGTTATTGTTTCTCCTTTCATCAATTGTTGAGCATCGTAGTGAGTGAGTAAAACTTACTGAATAAGCAGATCTTGCCGACTTCTTTATATACCAGGTAAAATACATTATTTTACCTGTCAAAATTGTGCAAATATAAGTAAGAATATTGCTGATTTCATGCTTATGTAAGCAAGATTCAAATCATAATTCTGAGTTGTGATTGGTTGTTGGAAGTTTTAACTTGTCAGAATTCATTGATATATCTTCGTTTTGGCTGAATATAGTAGCGTAGGGATTCCCCTGCACTAAAGCAAACTGAGGTCTAAATAGTCATTAATCATAAGAAAGCATATATATGGAATATAAATGGTATTTTATATCGGATAATAAATAATAAATAAATAATAAAGTAATTATATATAATTAAATATAATTACGTACTGACCGAATCATAACAATCTCCCCTTCTTTAGAAATTAACCATACCTGGTTAATTTACTTTACAATATAAATTATTTATTTATTTTATTTTTATTTTGTATTTTTGAGATGATATACCACATTCCGGCCGCGCAACAACCCATTAGGTTGACGTGGTTCCTGGTTCCAATGAATGTGGTGAAAGACCAGGATTACTTTCATGCTCCAGAGTTCATAGTTTAATTAACTGTTAAACTTTATTCTTAGTCTCCGTCTTCATATCACTTATTAGTGTTTATGAATTGTTGTAGCAGTATGGATATGCATAAGTAAATGTCTCTATCCATTCTCTTCTCCTCATAGCATTTCCTAGTTTCACCTTCAGCGTCCATATTCATTATCGATATCACTGATCATAATCCGCATTCAGCGTTCATATGTTGGGTGATCCATTGATAGATGGCACCTGGTGATTCTTTAGTTCATCTTTGTAGGAGCTACTCGTCTCTGAAGTCATCTTCTTCTTTTGTTATTTTATTAGTGATTAATATATTATCATGTTATAATGGTTAAATAAGGTGAGTAAATATGATTACTACGTGAGTAATATGTATGAATACATGCAATGATGATACTTGACTAAACTTATCTAACTTATCTCTATACCTAACATCTTATGTTCAATTTACTTTTACATGGAGACATACTTATACCTTGTATGCCCTCTATATAAGATTTACAAAATTCTGCCCACCTGCACCTTCCAATAAGGTACAATCCGTTCGGCAGATTATCACACTTCATGCATCTTTAACATCTTCCAATAAGATGTTATTCATGATATATGATAAATATATTATAAACAAATTAGAGTTAGTATTATTTACAACTCACTTCAGTCAAAGGCACTGAGGTAATATCGGTTAATAAATTATTCGATCAATTAATTATGTACACCTGGATTATATGTTATGATGATACACACGTTATATTTCATAGTAGTTATCATGTGCACACACTAAGTGCATTTAGTGCATTTATTACTCATGCACTAAATTAGTAAAACATGCTTCGAATATATATTTGGTTATATGTGATTATATATGTCAGATCAATTAATTATTTACATCTGGTTCGATTGATCAAAAGGGGATTCTTGAGATGATAGCGTATGAAGTTTGTGAACCTCTTCGGCGCTCTGGACCGTTTCATTGCTAGAAAGAGGTCTCTAGTAGAGGCCAATCTCAGACAACTATTAATTCTCAGGTCCTCTAGAAACTGCAGGCTCAAAGGTTAAAAGCATTAGTGTGAAATATGATATATATACACATGCATATATTTAGCAATTTAAATGAATTCCCCTTTAATTCATGCTTTTCTCATAAAATACATTATCGTGCAATGAAATCGTTTCAGTAGTTCAAGTTCAAATGGGCAAAAGGCATCTTATCATGCTATTTCATTAACTTAACCTGGGCAATTATGTTCCTCCCCCGAGTAAGTGATTTCTGCTAAACAGCTGGTACAACAGGAGGGATCATCTTTCCATTTTTGCACACATTCTAAACAACCTAATAGCTCATCTGATGTTAGGGCATATTTACACTTGGAGCAGACATGATGACCGCAAGGGAGGCCATGGATATTCATGATAGGATAAATCAAGTGGCATTTGTAACACAATGAGGTCATGTTTATTAATTTGTCTAACTGTTTGGAGTATACCTTCTTGCTCAGCGACCAGGAAGGTAAGGTGTTTAATTGACATTTGATAAATTTACATAACTCCATTTTTGTTTGCTAGTGGCTCATGGCTCTCTATCCTTTTTTATTTATTTTTATTTCTTTCTTCTATTTATGACTTTTACTTTTATTTTGAGGTAATCGGTAAAATAAGGAATTCAGTATACGCAATTATCAAAGACTGTAGTTTGTTATTCATTTATCATCGGGGATATGAGTCAATTGATCCTTAACAGTTCTACGTCCTTCAGAACTATCCACCTAATGTAACATAACGTAATATAATGTGACGTGCCACGCTAACCCTCGAGACATCAAATTTTAATATCACTGCCACTGTTCAGGAGATTTTCCCTTTTTTTTATTTGAACTTGGTAACTGTCACTTTCTCCACGAATACATTCTGCGCCTCTATTATTTCCCCAACGGGAGTTTGGGTTGGGTCTTGGTCATTGGATGGCCCCCCAGAGGGTTGGGTAGGTTGAGCTATAGGGTCCGTCTGGGTGGCCCTGTCCTCGGTTGGCCCCAGCCTACGCCACACCTGTCTTTCAGCCACTGAAATTTCAAAACCATGCCCATTATAGTCTCTCCAAAGGTATTAGGACAAATACATTAGTTTCCAATTCGTAGTAAAATCTAATAATATAAGGTTCAGATAGGATATCGGTGATGGATCTCCCATAACCATAAGGTAAGGGAACTTGTGGCGGCAAATTCAAATTCATTTCCTCATTGTCCAATATAAATTTGATTTCTCCCCATTCAATAGATAAATTATTTTGGAACAGTCCCTTTTGAACTTGAATACTATTTATAACTCCTCGCTGAGTCAACTGACACCTTTCATACCCATATTGTAACTTTGTTATTGGTATCGTCATCCGTTGACTCAATGAAGATAATTCTAATATCATTCTAGATTTCCTATGTACACTTCGCTTTCCGCACACGGCACGCCATGCTTTCAACATAAACTTAATCGTCATCACTAGTACATAAAATGTCATTATGGTCAATATAATGATTGACCAAGTTTGGGTGACATTTAAATATTTCATATTTTCTGGAGTGGGACTCGTAGTAGTATCTCGCATGGACTTTACAATGAATTGGCGACCTTCCGCTTTCATTACACTCTTTATTGACAGAATAGTAGTTAATATAAACTTTATTTTTGTTAGCACATAAATATTAGATATGATCGCGATCACAGCCAGAGCAAAAGAAACATAAATTATCACATCGGTTATATTTATTCCGAAAAAGTCCCAATCACCCATCTCAAAACTCAATTGATCCGCCTCTGAAAAATGTAGAGGTCTTTTAGACCTTACAGCTTCCGCAAGATGTTTAACATCTGTTTTTATTATTCCCTCGGATTTGATAGCGTTTTGCCATCTAGCTGATGTCATAGTGACCGGTAGTTTTTCATGGTTTATCATAGGCTCCACTGAGTCTAATTCGGAGCCGGTCATGTTGACCGTTAATTCTTCATTTATAAAATGATGTATGAATGGTATGTTAATGGGATAATTGTACTCGATTTCCGTTGAATCCATAACGCAACCTATTCGCTCAGGTATATAATTATCATTGATCATCAAAGAACAATCACAATTTAAATTTATTTTGCAGTACCTACAAGTAGGTATATGTTTTGAGGGATTACGCTTACAACGCATAACCCAATTGTCTTTTGCCTCAGCATTTATTAAGAATTGATTGTTAGATATTTTCATAATCTTTGTGTGAACTTCTGACTCTTCTTGATAATGAAAATTGCATAATTTTAGAATATTTTGAACATCGTCCATATATAGAGCTAGTAAACACGATTTCTTTTGGATAGGCCTCAAGTTAGAATACGCATTTTGAGATTGAGAATCATACTTTTCATTAATTTCGTATTCATCTCTGGTTAGTTCGAAATAAAAGGAACTTTCTTCATTTAGACCAATATATCTTTGAGGATTATTTAGTATGATTGATTGATTGTCCCGCTGTTGTTCGAGATTCAAATCACGCGGTATAGGCACTGAGTGAGTTTCCGCATAATATAGAGAATATTTATATCCCGTAGTAGAAATAGGTATTTCAATCATTACATATAAATAGCTTTTTGTGCGCGAGTAAGATACAATTGGCTTTTCAAAGAAATACCGAAGTGCTGATTCAGTTACTTTAAAGTTCGGAAATTGTAATGACAATTTATTTTTAACCTTATCCAGCGCTTTCTTTAGATCATTAGCCGAAATGAGATCCGGCGATAAACGTCCAGTGTTAGCCATTTTAATCGCCAGCACGTGTCTATGATACCATGTTTCCGCAAATTTCAAATTATATATTACTTGACTTAGGTATTTAAAGTACGCTGTCATCAATCCCGTAGTTTTATCAATACTGACATTTAGTCTTCGTATATTCATCTCATCAAGTTGTAGCCTAAATTCCGTATTATTTATGTAATTCAACAATTGATTAATGGATTCGTGATTCTGATTAATCATAGAAAACATATTAGTAGAGCGGTTTTCCGACAATTCCATGAAGTCATGCAATTCACTCTCAAATTGGTTAAATCGGACGGCTGATTTGTTTCCAAAAGTTTCCAAATATTTGACATGCGAAGCCAATATTTTAAATTTATCCATACTCACTAAACCAAATATTGATGAGACTAGGTTACCTATAGGTTGCAACAGAGCGGCTCTCTTGTTTTTATATCTGTAATGAGTTACATTAGGCAACAGCGCTTCGAGATTATTTTGATGCGCTAAAATTTTCTCAGTCAACGTTTTCATAATATCGCGCATTTGTTCACACGTACCGGTATGTAATATGCCATTGGGGTTACATGCTAAAACTATTGGTTGATCAATAGCCTTAATCGACGGCAACGTTTCCATTTTAAATGTAAGGTGAAAAGAATCCGATTCCGTTAAATGATTATTCTTGATTTCAACGAACTTTACTCCGTAATTATATCTCCACGGATCCGCGTTTTCCTTTTGGGCGTGTACAAGGTGTCCTCCCATAACCATCATTATTATCACAAGAAGGTAATATAGCGTCATACTCACTGTTGACTTCACTGGAAGAAGATATTTGTATATATATATATATATATATCCCTTGTGGTATCACAATCAGTATGTGTTGACAAAAACTTCGAGTACACAGCTATTCAGTGGTTTGGCAAAAGAGGTAGAACAATTCAGAACCTAACCTTTAATTGAAATATTCGGGCAACAGGGATACCGACACTTACCAATAAAAACTTAGGATTTTTCTCAGGGACACAGATTTATGCATTCTACTACTCAAGATCCGCCTCTTCTTGGTGACGTAACATGGGTTCTCGGCAAATTCTCTGTCCGATATTCTCGAAATGCCACCATATGTTTCTAATAACTACTCTTTTAACTTAACATCTCTGATATGTGTTTACCATATTTCTTCATTGATCTGTAAGAACATTCACTGTAATATATTTTTGTTTCCCGTTTTTATTTATTTTCCCAACAGTGTAGGCCTTTTCTCTCATAATATAGAGGTTTTGACAAATTGCATTTTAGAGTTAGTTCTTTATCAAGGAAGGGGCCCGTCTTCCCCGACGTAAACATAACCCTTTTTTCTTGTTAATACAAATAAACACAACACCCCCATCAACTCTCGGACACACCAAGATCCACATTTGCAATTCATGCATCATCCATGAGCAAACTGTTTCAACCTGGTATATGTCTTCAAGTCGAAATAGGTTGGGTGTTCCCTGTACCAACATATGTTTCCATTAATAAACCTACACTGTGAAGAAAACACACCTTTTGCAAATAATAAAGAAATCACTTTCCGGACAGTAATAACTTGATTAATGCTTTTCTCTACACTTCATACTTCATTAGTATGGAAAATATTTTCTCTTTTTCCCGTCATTTTAACTGGCTTTTGCCTTATTTCTTCTCTTAACTGGGGTGTCATGTTTGACTCGGGTTCCCATGTAGGAATTTTATAACCCTTCCACTTTATCAAGTTTTGCGGTTCTAATTCACCCTTCTTAAAACGACCCCGCAAAATCTTTTCTACTTCATAATAGTCATCATAGTGGTTCTGTCCACTTTCGCTTCCACTTTCATTTTCACTATATTCGACGTCTTCGTCTTTTGTATTCTCTTCCGACTTTTCCTTTTCAGTCGGTAATTGTTTACTTCCTATAACACTTCTTGAATGCTTGACCTCTTGTTCAGAATCATTTTGTCGTGGAACTGTATTCTTTCCAACTTCAGATTCGTCATCCTTTCGGGTAGAATCATTTGGTTGTGAGACTTGGTTAGAAGTATTTTCTTCTTTGTCGTCTTCATCATCAGATTCGAAACACTCTCTAGGTAATTCTTCTGCATCCATCATCTCTTCTTCTGTGATTACCTCTGGGTCATACCCTTCAGGTAATACTTCGTTTGGTATTCTTGTAATTCTCTGCTCGGCTCTTTTTAATCTGCGTACGTTCGCCGGAGTGGGCATTATACGTCCATCCGAGATTCTCCTCAATATGAAGGCATTGTCAGCTTCGTTTATTGATTTATATAATGTATACGCGCCAGTCCAAAGGTGCAACAACTTCTTGGCCTTTAGACCTTTGATGGCTTTCTTTGGGGTAAACAACATTACCTGTTCCCCGACCAGTAGTGGCCTTGTATATCCTTCCTTGTCCTTCTGTCTGATCATTTTCTGCTGGTTTAATCTCAATTTTTCTTGTACTATTTTATTTGTCTCATATATTCTACTCTGTATGGTTTCTAGGTGTTCTTGAACTGAATTTGACTTACATGACACCTCCCTTTGTAACACTGTATCAAATGGCATAAATGGTTCCCTTCCGTACATAATTTGAAAAGGGGAAAACCCATGAACGGTTTTGGTCATTCTATAAGAAGCCATTGCCGCAGGTAACAATACGTCCCAATTCCTGTGATCATCGGCAATTGAAGACAGGGCTGCCATCAGACTGGCATTATACCGTTTGATAGCTCCTTGAGTCTGAGGACTATAAGCTGAAGATTTGACCTTTTTGACCTTGAATAAATCGCACAAATTTTCAACAACTTCAGCCATGAAGTTTAAAGCACGATCGTGACTTATCATAAGAGGTGGACCATATCGGCATATGATTTCATCAAACAGAAGACGGGCAATTGTAGAGGCTTTGATATCAGGGACTGCAAAACATTCAGGGAACTTTGACAGTCTGTCCACAAAAGAAACGATATATTTATTACCGTGTTCTGTTTGCATTAATGGACCCAAACAATCTAACTCCAACCAGGCGAAGGCAGAATCAGGAATTTCCAAAGGAAGTAGACGACCTCGAGTATACCTGGGGGGTCTTTTCCTAGCAAGACATGTTTCACAAGAACGAACCCAATTGATTACATCTTTGTTCATGGTAGTCCAGAAATATCTTTGTCTTACGACATCGATTAATCTGTGTATGCCTGTATGTCCACAGGTCGTCTGGTCATGATGTTGAGTGAGGATTTCATCAATCAATCCTCTGGGAACTACCAATTGTTCCTTACATCTTGATAATTTAGTTCCCGGACCGTCTGGATACCAGAGATGGTATAAAATACCGTCTCGGTAGACAAAATCAGCTGCTTTGAGCAGGATTTTCCTGGCTTGAATATCATTACCAGGCAATAATTGATTCTCTAGATAATTTATGAAAGGTCTCCATTCTTCATCTAGTTTTTGTAGCTTACCGAGCATTTCTAGGTTCAAACCTGGTATGCCGTCTTGTTTATCCTCATCAGCTGGAGATATTGGTGCGCTAGTAGCAGGTTGTAGTGACCTCGCACTGACTGTCCTCTCACTAGGCACGGAATTCACGCTTAACAATTCAGTTAAACCTGACAAATCTTCAGGGTCTTCTGTTGGAAGATCTGGATGTTGCATTCTAGACAAAAAGTCTGCAGGAACCATCTTGGCACCTGATCTATGCAGTATATCATAATTGTATTGCTGCAAATGCATTATCCACCTGGCTAATCTACCTGTAGGTTCTTTCACTGACAAAAGCCACTTCAAAGAACGATTGTCTGTTACCACAGTGAACTTGCTGTATCTAAGGTAATTCTTGAACTTCTTTGTTCCAAACACGACTGCTAAAGCCTCTTGTTCATGAGTGGGATATCTTTTTTCTGTTTCAGATAGATTTCTCCCAGCATACGCTACCGGATGTTCAACTCCATCGGTAACTTGGCTTAACACTACTCCTAACGATTCATTTGACGCATCAGTCAACAAGAGAAAGGGTTTCTTGAAATCAGGGTATTTGAGTAAAGGAGCCTCAGTCAATTTCTTTTTCATTTCTTGAAAAGCTTCCTCACAAACAGCACTCCATTCAAAAGGAACACCTTTTTTAGTCAATCTATAGAGTGGTCTAGCTATCTGAGAGTGATGACTTAAGAACCTTTTGTAGAAGTTGACCATTCCTAGGAATCGTCTTAACTTTTTCAAGGTAGTAGGTGATTGGCAGTCTAACACAGCCTTGACATTTGAACTTGTGGGAGCAATTCCTGAAGATGACACATCGTGTCCCAAATATCGAACTTTTTCTACAAATAACTTGCATTTTGAAGGTTTCAACTTCAATCCAGCCTTGGATAATCTATCCAATACCTGACCCAAATGCTCGAGATGTTCTTCAAAGGTGTTGGAGAATATGCATAAATCATCAATATAGCAGATGACTGTTTTCCATTGCAATCCGGCTAATACTAATTGCATAACTCTCTGGAAGAAACTAGCTGAGTTAATCAATCCCTGGGGTAACCGTTTGTATTGGAACAACCCTTCATGACAAACAAAAGCAGTCTTTTCTCTTGACCCATCGTCTTCTAAAGGCAATTGGTGATATCCTTGACATAAATCAAGACAACTTATGAACTTTGGTTGGACTAAACCCAAGCTATCTAAACAATCTCCTAGATGTGGTATAGGAAATTTATCAGGTATGATTTGCTGATTTAGCTTTCTTAAATCTGTCACGAAACGGAATGATCCATTCGATTTATTGACCAATATTATAGGTGACGCATAAGGTGAAGTTGGTTCAATAATTCCTTGGGACAACATATCTT